ACTTAGAAGTTTGCATGTTACACTTTCTTTTTGCTCCCTTTCTTTTTCTTTTAGACAATGCAAAGTAGCAGCATTGATTGTCTATCTGCCAAAACTCTTAGAATTCACATAGCTTCGCATCTCGTCATCCATAGCTGCGTAAGTCGTCAGATCCCCCATGGAGCTAACCTGCATGAGTCTCGGGTGGGCTCTGAGACGGATAGAGAAAGATGGCAAGTTTCATCAAGAGGAGAACAAATCCGAAGCCACGAACTCGTTGCTTGCCCTTCCTGTCTGCTGGTTTTACGTCGACGTTGGAAATGCCTCATTCTCAAAACTTCAGACTGGCATCCACTTCCGAAAAAAAGTGCAAGATCGTGCACTGCAAATCTACTTGATACCTTCCAATTTCAATTAAGACTTAGTCGCCTGTTCTTAAAAGAGGGATCCCACTCGATACAAGCATCACTCTCGACTGACAATAATTCAGGGGTTACTGTCCTAAAGCTTGGTACTTGAATCTTGGGCTTTTGTTTCGTTTCGTTTGGACCTAGGTTTCTCACGGGGGGGTCTGAATTTATGTCATTTTCCGAGTAAATATCATATGATTTTCCGAATGAAGATCGCATGAAGCTATTAAGCAGAACTCATAATGGTCACTTCATAGCCCTTCGAAATGATCTGTCATTAACCTGGAAGTGACGGAAGAAATGGCTACCTTTCGTCCATATCCTCTTGCATGTTAGTTGTGGATACGGTCTTGTATGTATGTTGACCAGCTCAAAAAAGGTCTCACTAGGATAGGTCAGAGTGGAAAACCCCATTCCGATAGATTCTACTTTTTGCTTCTATGAGTAGGTTCGCATGTGAGCAGATATGATGGCCTTTCTGCCAAGAGAGAACCATAAAAGAATATAAAAAAATGGGTAGAGATGAGAAATCATACCCTCCTTAACCACAAGCGGGCGATTCATTCAAATGTAGTCCTGGCTCTCTTCTCGGCAGATGCCAACTGCAATTCCTGCCACTACCTTGAATTCAAATTCCTGTTATAGTTATAGTTGGGAAGGTGGAACACACATTTTTACTGTAACAGCGGAATATCTCCAGCCAGATACTATAGCTATCGATATACCCGGATGTATGTTCAAATTCATTTATACCGCATCCTTGAATCCTCGACATCCTTCTGTGAGATACTGTAGGTGAATCTTTGAATACGTCTTCAGCCGAGAATTCCTCGAGAGTATAAAACTCATCGGTATCTGTAGATATGATTCGAGCAACGCGTATCTTCCTTCCAAATACGGCTGTATGTGTTTCATACTCTAATCTTGAAATACGCAAGTCTGAAGCTCACTCCAGCTCAAAAGTACCAACTGTAGACGGTCGTTGATGCTCCTCCTTCGTTCGGTTCGGGGTCCAAAATATTTAAATACCAGCAAGGTCCCAGAAAGCGTAGCTCGATGATGACGGTGAGAATCCTATCGTTCATGCTGTACGAGTACTGTACTTGCATGAGTCACTCACAGCGAAGGGCGACAGGGGACGTGAAATGATGTTCGTACCAGCTTCACAGTGCATACTCACACAGCGAAAGCAGCAACGCGAGGAAAAGAGCTCGAACATGAGCTTCTCCAAGGACCGGGAAGGAAGGAGAAGTGTTCCGACGACATGCTCATACGGATCCTGCTCCAGGACCTGTCACCGGCGACGGTTGGTGATGTATGCACAGAAGGAGTCGCCATGTAAATGAGCTTCCTTTCTTGGACCCGAAGTACTTTGGTTCTGTGTGAGTGAGACCTTCGAGGCTGGCAGAAGTTGATCCGTGTCGGAGCTCGTTTTTTTTCTCCTCATACGAGACAGGCAGTAGTAGTCCTTCTCGGCTGTCTGTGGGTCGGTACAGAGGTAGAGTAGAGTGAAGGCCGGCTGAAGCTGAGGTTTAGCCTCCGAGTGCGCTCGCTAGCTACTGCCTAGTTTTGGCGCAATAGGTGAGCAGCTAAAGACGAGGCAGACTGAAGACGGTCAGAATAAAGAATTTGAGATGAAGTGGAATGGAGATGGAGATCTGCGCACAGTGTGCTTGCATTATGCTCAGGGTAGAAGATTCGTCCCAATCAATCCATACGACCGGTTTTCCCGCTGTGGGGGATAGTTTATCTAAGAAGGAATCATATGCGCATAGTGTTTCGCTCATTTATTGCCCAAATATGCCGAAATGAAGATGAAGATGTGGATGTGGATGGTGAGCTCGATGACGTGAGATTCGAGACCGCAACAGGGACCGAAAGGTGGACCGACCCAACTCCAACGACGGCCAAGGGGTGGGAGAAAGCTCGCTCCCTCCGAGCTGCCTGTCTAATTTGTCCATCCAGTGGTAGTGCAAATGGGAAACCAAAGTTTCCCTTCACTTACAGCGCAGGTCAATAAATGAAAGCCGTCAACTGTGCCCGCAACATATGCATCTAAGAAATTATGGACCAGAAGTGCCAGGGACAGGATTCGTGGGTTTCGAGACTTCATAAGAATGTAGCTGAGTCGCAATCGAGAAATGAACTGGAATAGGCGTCATGTTGGATGATTATTCCTTCGGTTGACCTGTTATTCGAGACGCAAGCCAGATGTTCAAGATGGAATGGGGGACGGGGTTGGGGGTGGCGTTGGTGCTCCTTCTCACGACGCTTCTGTGGTGATATCATGAGGTCGTGTGAGAGTATGCGCAAAGAAGTTGATGGACAACCGCAGAAGCCAAAAAGCGGGCCCGAGGCTCTGGCCGGGTCGAGCTGCGGCTGATTGCGGCTGATTTGTCATCCAGATCTCTCGACCACACTGTACTCTCGTTGAATAACCGTTGTCCTGGCTCAGAGCCAGCGGCAGAGAAGATCGCTCTGAATTGAGCGAGCCCCATGCCAGTGGCATAATTTCAGCACTTAATCAAGGAAATATTGTTCCATACAGATATGGAAGTGGGTAAGTTTGGCATCAGGAGACGAAAGCTCTCCGTGGCACTAACGAGCAAGGCACAATATATTAAGCGTGATGGCAGTGGAACAAATGTACTCATCGAAGTCGGTAAGTCGGCGATCAGACCAGAAGACAAATTCCCACACCTCTCTCTCTCTCTCTCTCTCTCTCTCTTTTTCTCTTTCTCTTTCTCTCTCTCTCTCTCTCTGGGAGACGTCCGAGAAAATAGAGACAGATGACAACGGAGGGAGCAAGTAGTAATAATAATGTTGCTCCTCTGATGCCCCCCACATACAGTGCGATGCTCGTACAGCGACTCGGAGCAGAAGGTGAGGGCGGAGCGGACAGCAAAAAGCAAGTCCGTTTGGAGGAGCAGCGGAGAGAGAGGCGGGGTGTGCGCAGGTGAAGCCCAGGCCCACGACCAGAGTGAGTGCAGTGGCCAGCAGCAGCATGTCGAGGACGGGACGAGAGCAAGGGCAAGGAAGGCTGCTGCTGCTTCTTCTGCTTCTGTTTGCTCTTGCTGATGCTACTGCTGCCGCTGCTGCAGACGTACAGTGTTCTGGGACTGGTACTGTCGAGACGGCTGAGAAGGAAGGAACGACGCTAAATGCCAGACACGAGGACGGACGAATGCATGAGCCTTTCTAGGTCGGTGTGATGCGTAGAGGTGGTCTGCTCTCCTCTGTCCTCCCCTCCCCTCCCTCCCCCGCCCCCTGCAAGGCAGCGTGCCTGCCTGGCAGGTCCCACCCCCCGAGAACAGCAACACGACGTGCAAGCAAGTGTACCACCTCGCACTCCCCGACCCCCTCAGCCCCATGCCATGGTCAGCATCTCAGCATCTCTCTCTCTCTCTCTCTCTTTCCATCCTGGGTGCGCGAGTACGTACAAACATTCTGTACACTCTCGAGCTCAGCAGCATGCGATCGCTCCGGCTGGCGTCGAGGTACGACACCCGACCCCTCGGACCTGGTCTTGGTTGGCTCTTGGAGGTTAGCGCTTTGTCGAGCTCATAGAGAGCTTCGCTTTTCCGCTCTCGGACGAGACTACAGCCAGGGCGTAGACTACCTCTCATGCCACCATGTTTGCTGCTAAGGCTCTACGTGCTCATCACTTGCGGGCACGATCTCTGCCAGGCGAAAGCGGGTTGGCACCCTCTCTGCTCTCATTTCCCCCCATCCGAGAGATCCAGATTGCCAATTAAGGTGCACGTCCAACCCGGAGAGCACGCTTTCTATGGCTTGAGTCCATGAGCGACTGCCTCTAAATTGAGCACTCTCAGCAGGAAGGAAGCGGCTTGTTATACGCAGAGTGTACGTATCGTATACATGGCCGAGTTCCTGGCTCATTTATTCTGTTCTGATCTGATCTCGACATAGAGATGATTAGAACCATCCGAGGTGAGGACGGTGGAAGGTGTCGATGTGTTGCCGCTTCTTTTTCTCCGGGTGCCGTCGGATTTAAGGGTGCCATTCAACTCGTTGTTTCCAGGAATGCTGCCCCACGTCGAGAATTCCGACTGACAGAAACCTTTTTCTGCCACACGCCCGAGATAAGTATAGTACAAGGGCGAAGAAGAACCGATGTTGACCTAACTCTGGTACGAGTCTGGGCCGAGGGGTTCGCAGCATATCGCAGTGCCTCCGCCAATAATCACACCATAAATGCAAGCGTTAAGACTTTCCGCATCATTATTGCCTCGTTGAGCTTAGATTGGATCATAAAGGCCCTTCGGAAGAAAGGAGACTCAGCAGACGAGCCAAACGGAAAGATTCCATTCCCCTTTTTTCAAAGGCCCAGCGCTGACACACGTAAGCTCTCTCTATCTGGGACGTACAGTCCTCGAACAGATAATGGTAGACACAGATGCCGGATTCGGGCCTGCACAATCGCTCACGTAGGGAAGCGAGGAAGGAAGGAAGGAACAGAACGATCATACGAACAGGAATTTCGTCACAACAATCCGAGTGTCTCGCTCGCATGGCTACATTGCAAGTTTCATTCAATGCCGAGGGTCAGCCAGCCAGCCTTCCGCTCGCTCGCTCGCTCGAGGTGCGTGAGAAAATTAATAATAGTGAGAGCTTCAGTAAACGAATGAAAACAATTTCAGAGTATGGCACATGTATTCGAAATGCAGTCATGTTCCTCGATGAGGTTTCACGGACCGGATAGGGGTCCGCAGGCCGAGAGCAAATGCTGGCGAGCGTTGGTTGCATTCGTCACGCACGCGCACTTGCACTGCCTGACAGAAACACATGTACATCTACGGGTTGTTCTAGCAAATTCAAGCTCCTCTACAACGTAAGCCGAACGAGACGCCGCGGTGCACCGGGCCGTCTTCTTGGGACGGCCCTCGTGCGACTACTGGTCCGGCGTCTCGCGGCCAGGCAAATCTATATTCATACTCCGTCTCGTGACCTCGCAGTCCTGGGGATCCTAGATACAAATATAAAGAGCATCACGCGACGTCGTCGGACGCTGCTCGAATGTCACCTCGTGCTGTCAGTTTCTTCTATACCTCGAGCGCCGAGCTGGTGGCCGGCTCTCCTCGCCCGTGCATTCACGATTCTGATGTACATAGAGCCAGAGAGAGAGCTGCGGATGCATCTGGTGCGGTAGTAGTGCCATGGACTAGTTTACACTGGTAGTAAGTAAGAGTAGTCGGAGGGCTCCGACCCTCGAGATGATTCTATCAAAATTGCCCGTCGCACCAGACGATCGACCGACTGACTGACTACTACGGCACGAGGGATGCTGCGCCGGCTCGATGCGAAGGCAGAGCGAGCGAGCGAGGGGGAGGGGTCCGATGGTGGCTCGATCGCGGCCGGCCTAGAGGGCGGAGATGGTGTGCGTGTCCGAGGCCTCGGAGCTGGCCTCCTCCGTCTCCTCTCCGACGCCGACGATGAAGCTGTGCACGCCGCCGAGGGCGTCCTTGCGGAAGAGGTCGGGGCTGTTGTAGCAGCTGTCGCGGGCGGGGCAGATCTTGCCGCCCAGCAGCGCGGCGTACTGCTTCTGCAGCTCGAGGATCTCCATGGAGCGGCGCGAGTTCTCCTCGAGCAGCTTCAGGCTCGCGTTGATCACCTTCTGCATGATGTGCCGCAGGTTGCGCCCGTCGCCGTCGGGCACCTTGGCCAGCTCGTCGCTGTGCTGCTGCAGCACGCTCTCGAGGATGTGCGGCTGGCACAGGAAGCCCGGATTGCTCAGCGCGCGCTCGTACTCGCTCGGGCTGAGCTTCGAGCGGTCGATGAGCCGCCACAGGCTCTGCTTCTCCTCCTGGCTGTAGCCGCTGTTCTTGTTCAGCAGCTTCTCGATCGCGCCGTAGAGCGTGTCGTGCGACCGCCGCGACTGCGCCGGGAAGGCCTTGATCAGCGCCACCAGCACGTCCGTCGACACGGCGATGCTCTCGGCGTAGTTCCAGATGAAGCCGTCCACCTCGTCCGCCACCTCCTCCAGCGCCTCGTCGTTCGAGTCGCCCTCCTTGATGAAGTGCAGCACCAGCGCCAGCAGCGTCTCGGGCCCGAATTTGTACACGTGTAGGTACTCGTCGATCTCGAACAGGCTCGCGCCGATCCGGTGCTCCAGCAGCTTCTTGACGCTCACCAGCCGGTCGTGCATCGACTCCTCGGCCACCGCCATCAGCCCGTCCATGTGCTCCAGCAGGCTACACCAGTACTGCGACGAGAGCTCGAGCCACGGCCGCGTGGTGGGCGCGCCCTTCAGCAGCAGGCGCGCCAGGCACAGCACCATCCAGCAGCGCGCCTTGTCGCTCACACACTCGTCCGCCAGCACGCTGTCGAGCCAGCTGCGGACATTGCGACCCTGCCGGCACTTGAGATTCAGGTTGATCTGCATCTCGACCAGCGAGTCCACCACCTCCGCGACGTAGCAGTCCGGCAGCGACACCATGCGGACGATGATCTCCGTCAGCGCTTGCGACGGCGAGCTCTGCCAGGTCGCGCCCGTGGCCACCGAGCTGGCCAGGGGCATGGGCGCCGACAGGTACTTGGTCTCGCTGAAGGCCTTGGTGCAGGCCACGACGATGACCTTCAGGCACCGCGACTCGATGTACTCGTCCACGGGCGAGTTCAGGCGCTTGTACTGCTGCAGGAACGCGGCGCTGAATCTCCAGTGGCTGAACACGTTCACGTAGAGGAACTTCTTCGTGCTCTCGAGCAGGTCCGCCATTCCCAAGTAATCGGCCACGGCTCGGATCTGCGCCACGTTCTGCACTGTGAATGTGGGCTTCACCAGGTAGCAGAAATCCGCGGCTGCCGCGAAGCCTTCGGCCCCGCCGGGAAGATCCGCGATGTCTACCACGGGAATGCCTGGGGACGACGAGTCGGGACTGCTTTCGGCGGCGCAGGAACAAGTCGGGGGCAGCTCGCGGAAGTAGGACGAGGCGTTCAGAAGTGGCAGCATGTGCAGGCTGAATTCCGAGCTCCCGACGCGCACAAGGACGTCGCTATACTCTCCGGTGCGGCGAACTCTCTGCAGCCATCCTGTAAAGCTCCCCTCCTTCTTGGCCATTCTTCTACCGAGCTCTCCGTGGGACCGGATCTGGGTTTAACAGATCTATGGCGCACCCTTCCTTGGCTTTCGACGCTTCCTCTAGCTCCTGGCGCTTCCGCCAATTTGCCCACCTCCCATGCTTCTCCTCCTCGGCAGTGATCAGCGCTCCGGGATGATTGAGCTGATGTTCCTGTTGCCTCGGCTTCAAGATACTACGACAATCCCCCACCGTGAGCGTGATTCCCAATTAGTTGAACCGATCACTCGTAGACGTCTCCACCATTTCCTACTGCGACGGTCTCCTGCCTTCGGAGTCTGTCATATCTGCAGAGTATGAGTGATGATGACTGGTGCCGATACAGAGTCAGCCCTCTTATCGGGCTCCCGGTATCCGGAGAAACGCATATCCCATGTTGAGGACGGCGGCAGCCAATCTTCAAAGCGAACCTACCCGCCAGGAGTGATCACCATGGACGAGCTTTCCCCCTCTGATTAACTTAACCGGCGCCTCCAAACCTCCCTGCTCAAAGATTTGAGACTAGCTCACAGTGTGAATGAGACGTGGAACGAACTGATATCCTGATTCCTGACTTCGCAAAAGTGGCTTTCCTCCTGAGCACCCGATTCGTCGAGGCTCAACAGAGCTCCAGCCGAGACCTCGCTCTTCTCATATCCGTAAGTCCTTCACCCAATACAACGACAAGAACAGCGTCAGTACTGTATGACAAGCCGGTTTGTATTTTCTCCGGTCTCGACTCAAATGCAACAGAGTATGTGAGACCACATGATTTCTCGCTCCAAGACTACGGAGGCGGAAGAATGATGTCGCCTCCCGACGGCTGTAGCTCAAAGACATTTCAGCTAGATCTGACGAAAGGAAATACCGTGCTTATGCTCAATAACCACGACGCTCTAGGCGCAACAACACCGATAAGCAGAAGACTGGAGAGAATGGACGGGCAGGCTGACTACTCAACCACCACAGGGATGTAGACAGATGGTCCGATATCATAACTCCTGGACGGAGCCGTGAACTGCCCATCAATTCTCACCAGATTACCCCCTGGTGACTGTGACAACTTTAAGACTCTCTGGTCAACTGTGGACTTCACAGCCATCTACAAATTTATGCAACCCAAATCGACCTGCAAACAGTCGGCAGATATGGGCGATGTGAGGTCGAAGAACTAAATGCGATCCAGACCTGGGACTCGAGACAAACCATCCTGTACACGTGGTCCGCCAACATTGCTCGAAGGACGGGCAGGTGACGGGCAGGCGGAAGAGCCGTAATGTCTGTGTTGCTCTGATAGCAATGACTGATGCGAGGCTGCTGTCAACGAGCAAACGCACAGAATGCAAGTGGACAGGGTGAAAGGAATGTGACTGAACAGCTCCCGATTTCCATTTCCGATCATTTCATATCCAACGGGCTCAATTCGGCACTCCTTCCCAGCAATAACTGCGCAGCTCTAGAAATCAAATTGACGGACATGCAGATATCGGAGTTGCGCACTCGCCCCTGCTTTAAGGACCTCTCGGCTCTTCTCTGAGCATTCACTCCATCTAAGCTCTGAATAGCTCTCGGACTCTGCAAAGCAGAATCTGTGACCGAGCTCCTGCTGAACAGCTAGGCTTGGCATCGATGATCCGAGAGGGACATGACTCGCTGAGTTCTCGGGGGCACACATACGGGCAAGCTACGCAAACAAATCTCGACCAGGCTCCCAGAGTTGCAACATCGAACGGTCAATTACAGGCTCGTAATCGAGAACTCCTTACCTCGTAAGCAAACCGAGTCCATCATCTCCAACAGCCATGCACTACCTGCGTCAGTCCATTGCTAATGCAGCAGCTGCAGCACTCCACTCACAAGGTAGATCTCCTCTCTCTCTCTCTCACTCTCTCTCTCTCTCCACCAGTAGTCAGTCTTATCGAATCAACGAACTGCAGAAGGGCATACATCTACTCCCTTGACAAGCAAAGCAGGGCGTGCGTGTGCCTAAGTCCTTCTCGTATCGTATCGGCGTCTTGTTCCTCCTCCTCCGGCTGCTGCTCCTCCGCACTAGATCTTCAGAAGTCTTAGAACTCACACACAAGTAAAGGAAGGCATCGGCGACCGAGCGAGAACACGTCAAGCACACGAGCAGGCGAGGCAATCTGCATTCCTTCAACGGCGGACCCTCCCCCAGCAGGACGGGCCCTCGCTGCTACAGCAAGGAGCTAAGACACCCATCCTGTGCGATAATCCCATTAACTCCGCATAACTCTCAAAGGCCACAGGTCTTGCCCTCTCCTCCCCCTCCCCCTCCCCCAGCCAACACTGGACCGATGATAAGCGGAAGACTGACGCCAGTCCACCGCGATCGCAGGAAAGCAGCGCAGCACAGACACCAAAAGCGAGGGGGAGGAAAGGGGAAAGAAGGAGCTAATGAGACAAACAGCAGACAAGCAGGAAAAGAGACAGAAAACGACGAGCGAGTAGGCAGTGAGTCAGCCGACGAGCCAGTCGCCCGTCAGACAGCCTCAGTGCTGCAGCTCCAGGTCGCCATTCCAGGTAGGTCCAGTGATCAGACCGGTCCCAAGCCGGCATGTGACGCGGTGTCCTTCCGGGCAAACCGGGAAATAAAACGTCCCAGGAGGTTCCCACCAGTTTCCACCGTTCCTCCGGATGGGCACGGCCGGGAGCCAGCGGATGGTTGGACGTCGGCGCAGGTCAGGACGACTTTCCTGCCGTTCTGCTTGCGGCCGAAATGAACAAATCGCTCCTGCACCTTCCCGGCGACCGGTCTCTCGGCGTAGATAGAATACGTACTCTTCTTCATCATCATCATCGGTACGTCGTACCGTTTTGCAACTATACCGGTGATTTAACTCTGGGCCCACAGCCTATGAAAGAGAACACGTGGTCGGCTTGTAGAAAGAAGACGGTCTAAACTCATCCTGGAAGTATGGAAGGCAATCCTCACCTTTGATTCTGTCCCCGATGGACATAATACCCTCCTGCATCCACCAATCCTCGCCTTCCCTTTCGCTTCCTCCGGCCTGACGTGTCGGCTGACGTGGCATTGCAAATCACCTCTTTCTTTATTATGTTTGGAAGGAACTCGTAATCATCATCCCGACGGCACCACTCGATGACCACGAGACGAGATCGACGCATGGGATGCGCGATTCTTCTTCTCTCGACCGGCTTAGCGATTTCGGCTTCGCAATTTCTAAAGGGGTCGACGGCCCCCGACCCCCAGCGGCCCCGGCCCTCGTACCTTGCCTCAAATAAATATCTCCACAAGAAAAGGAAAATTGTCCCCCAAGTTCCAAGCTCCATTTCCCCTTTCGATAAACCTCGGTACAAGAATTTATGTCATAACCGTTGACTGAGCACAATTGCCGGCAGTTTAGCGCTAGAACGGTTGACTGGGATGCATTCCCGCCACCCTACCCCGTAATGAAAATGGAACCGGCATCGCCGCCCGGTAACCCCGCCCCGCCCGCTAATCTGAAGCGACCTTAAGCCAACCCAACCCAAGGTTAAAGAGAGGGCCGGTCTGCTAAACCCCGTAGAAGGGCAGGGTTTAGGTTTGAGCGGGTTTCGGGCGAGGCTCCGCGGAAGTGGGAAATCCGAGTCCGGCTACAGTTTGGGCTTAATCGTTGCTAACGGGGCGAGGGAGTGGCGCTTAATTTTAGCGGGTGCTGCTAAATCTGAACGAGCAGTGCGGATAGGATGATGTTCAAGAAGGCGACCCCCAGCGAGCCCATGATCGAGCGCTGGGAGGATCCGGGGACAAATTGCTGAGATCCTGCGCAATGTGCGACGCTTGTTAGTGAGGGAATGTCCGCCCGAGGCCTCGCCAACATGGCGCTTCAGTTTGAGGTGTGAAATCGTCGGACACTGTTTTGTTCTCGTCCCTTGAGATGCTCCTGAGTTTGGGTGGCGGAATGAGTTAATTTTGGTTTCGGGTGGATTAGAATGGTTCGTAGAGTATCCTGTCACGTGGAATGGAGTGAATGGGATTCTTAGGTGACGGGAAGGTGTTCGGATTTTGGTCTGTTGGAATAGCTTTGGTCATCATCTTCCAAATGCTATGGAGTGGAGTGGAATCTAGTCAGCTCTCTGTTCACATCCTGCAGTATAGAGCAGCCTCGGGACGTTTTCCAATTGGGATGTATCAGAGAAGCTGCTGATGATGAGACGTATTTTTATATGTTGAAGGTTTTGGCTCGTCACAATCTGGCGCGGGCTTCGCGGCTCACTCTTCCTCATCATGTCGTTCAGACTCCCATGTTTATGCCAGTCGGCACTCAAGGTACCACTTTTGTGCTTCACCGAATCCGGCTTTGTCAAATTTTAAACACAATTTGTGAAAAGTCGGGCATCTTACCCTGGAAAACGCGAAGTAGACGTCATTCTGACTCTGAGAATTCGCAAACCTGCTCAGACTGCTGTCCTCGGAACGACATTGTTGTTTATGTCCTGTTCTTTTTAGGTGAATAAGTTTAGCCCAATCATTGAGCAACTTGATCCTAATTTTTTTCCGTCAGACCCTCATCGACTTCAGTCCATATCGAGGCAGGATAATATAAACTCACAAGTTGAGATGTGTTTATTTTGATACCTGCTAGAAAGAGTCACATGATCGAAATTTACATCCCTCGTCTCCGTGATTCATCCCGTGTTTGGCGAATGATTAATAGGTGTTATCAAGGGAATCACTTGCGATCAGTTGGAGGACTTGGGATGCCAAATCATATTGGGGAACACTTATCACCTTGCACTTAGGCCCGGTGCAGACCTCTTGGAACAGATCGGCGGTCTTCATAAATTTATGAACTGGCCCAGGGCTCTTTTGACTGACTCTGGTGGCTTTCAGATGGTATCTACTTCTGCATCTAGTCTTTTACTAAATTTTATGTAAATTTTCATTATCTTTCTCTTCATCATCTGCATGAAGTTGGCTGTGTAATTAGCAGTCACCAATTCCACCACGGTGCTAGGTGCTTTTGTGAATTGCTGCTCTTGGGTATCAGGTACGTTTCTCAACGTGTTGGTAGTAGTTTAACACGCGAATTTCTTGTACATAACGTCATCGTCACACAAATTCTAACAAGCTATACAAGTCTAGCTTCCAACGCCCGTCAGATTGTTGGAAAAGAGTGTGGGTTTTTGAATTCTTTCACGTTGTTTCTTGTCAATGCTAGGTTTCACTCCTTCATTTGGCAAACATCACCGAAGAAGGAGTCACCTTTCAGGTTAGTTTACAGATTATATTTGTATTTATCTCTTCCTGATATATAAATGAACTTATAGATAGTTCCTAATATATATATACGCGTTGAACGCGATGAGATATCGATGGCAGGGCTTCAGTTGGAGCTTTCTTTGTATTTAGGACCGGTTCAGTATTGGAAAGATTGTGCCGTAACTCAATAAAACGCGTCTGATTTCATTGTCTGTAGAATAGACTTACTTCTGGCGTTGATTTGATGACTAGAGTTACTGTATGCTCGCAGTCTCCGGTGGATGGAACGCCGATGCTACTCACACCAGAAGAGTCAATACAAATACAGGTGTGAATTTTCATTTGATAAACTCAATCATTGGATTCATCAGGCTAAGCTACAAATGGCTCACTTGCACTGCTTTTGGCAGAACAAAATAGGTGCAGATATTATTATGGCTCTTGATGATGTAGTAAAGACGACAACCACAGGGCCTCGAGTCGAAGAGGCCATGCACCGTACAATTCGATGGATTGACCGCTGTGTTGCTGGTAATGTCCTTGCTCGTCAAATGTACGATGGAAGAATCTTGAAACTTGGGCTTCCGATTATCGTTTACTCCTTCCTAGGTTTGCTAACCTCATTCAGCATGCGTGATTACTGTGCCGATGACAGTATCTTATTGCTCTCCATATCGCTCAGTGTATTCTTTTCCTCCTGACGTTAATTTTGCATGTCTGATTTATTTATGTCTAATATATGGTGGAACGCGGGCATTGCTCAGCGCACTCAAGGCCAACGGAACAGAACCTTTTCGCGATCGTACAAGGCGGCTTAGATCAAAATTTAAGGTAGACTGAACTGCCATGAGACCAAGGCCTATTGCCCACAAGTTTGACCTCGACTATACGGAAAAGTACCCGTTTATATTGATCATCGTCTACGTTGTGATCTGAATCTGGTATATTTGGTTCCTGATTTTTTCATCCTGCAGTAATAGAAGTTCGAAGTAAGAACAAATTGATTGCAAGTGTTCATCATCTTTTCACCAGCTTCTTTTTAGTTGGAGTCATCTTGATAAGACAGTTGGGCACAAAGCTAAGAAATTGTGCTGGCTTTAACAATACATTTAGGTTAATTCTTAGTTTCCATCATAGGTGACTCCACTTACTGCTGAAGAAATGTTTAGAAGACCACAACTAACTCTATCACTCCATCCAATGATATCATACCTGCTCGGTCGTTGTGCAGAGCTCAGTGCCTAAAAGAGCTTGTCAAACGCAACCTTCCAGGGTAGGTTAACAAGCTTCAGTGTTCTAAAGCAGCTAATCTTTCATGTCGCTGTAAGTTCCACTTAAAACTTTGATGCATACGGTATAGACAATAGACTCTGATAAAGTAGAGTGCATGCATCGAATTGACTCGGTGCGTGTTTGTACTCCATCACAGCTACGCAATCGGTGGTCTCTCCGGAGGTGAAGAAAAAGATTCATTCTGGAGGATAGTAGCGCAATGTACTGCAGGCCTTCCAGAAGACAAGCCTCGATATGTCATGGTACAAAAACTTTCAACGCTCTAATACTTCGAAACTTTCGATCGGACGAGGACAAGATTATGTCCTTCAATATCATCGTAGACATTTGCTGAGTCAGATAGGTGCCGAGGACTGTCTATTGTATTCTTTTTTCTTCTGTCGACCTTTTTACCTTCAGTGCATGCTGTCTCTTTTCTCAAGTACGAAGTTGCCTCTTCTTCACATAACCCTAAGTCAGCTAATCTTTATTTCGTGGCCTTTGGGAAAATAGACCTGGATCACTATAGGATAGGCTTCGAGTGGGCCTTCTTAAGGGTCAATTGCAAATGCTCATGGAGTAAGATACGAGCTGTCTGGATGTTTCAGGGTGTTGGATTCCCGCTCGATATCGTCGTATGCAGTGCTCTAGGTGCAGACATGTATGATTGCGTTTATCCAACTCGCACTGGACGTTTTGGCTCAGCTCTCATTCCCGAAGTGAGTCCTCCGTTGAGAAAATGACTACACTGAAAAGTAGTATGTTCTAGAAATGTAGAGAAGCGGATATCGCGCTTTGAACCATCGTATGAATCCAAAAAGAATGCTTTCTTTGTGGTTGGCTGTGATGATTTTCGTCAAAAACTTTTTCCTGGTCTACTTTCCGATTCTTATGATTATGTCACTGTACATCTTATGCAGGGTGTTTTGAAACTAACGAATGCCAGTATGGCGACAGATAACCGACCTTTGGATCCATCGTGCACATGCATGGTAGGTTGCTTGGCGTTCAGCTGTCCATCTGAGGTTATAAGCTGGGCCACAAGCGTAGATCTGATGAAGGGTGCAATTTTTGCAAGTTGTTTTCAGTCTAACGTGGTTAAACAACCACAGCTGAAATCAGTTCTGCTCTTGACAAATTTTCAGCAGTGTGCTAGATAATCACGAACCCCAGTATGTCTCATACATTATAATCTGTTGGGGATGCAGGTGTGCAAAAAGTACACTCGATCATATCTACACACCATCGTGACTAAAGAGGCTCTGGGTTCCCAGCTGGTGTCTTATCACAATATAGCCTACATGATGAAGGTAGGCACCGTATGAAGCTTTTGAAGATTCCAACTTAGTGAAACGGTTGTGAGTCTTTGCTCTTGACTCTGTTTTGGTAATTATCATTGCTGGTGCAAATGTCTTGTAATGTGGCAAGGCTTGTCCAAACTTCACTTCCCCTCCTGAAGGAAAATAGTTACGTTGCATCAGCATCCCTTCTGTCGTCGCTGATGAAACTGAAGAAGGTTTATTCTCTCTGCAATTGTAGTTGCTGAGAGGATCAACCTTCTTCAGTTGTATGGGGCCCTTCTATTTCACGTGGTAGACTTTCTACCTGTTACTACAGTTAACATTCCCAAACTCCAGGATTACTGTCTGTCAATCATGCAATACATACGCTGAATTTATGTCTTGCCTGTTGTAGTTAAGTCAAGATCTTCACACGTCAATTCTTGAAGGACGGTTTCCACGGTAAGAGAACCTCACACATGTGATGATGCTAAACCTCTTCTTTTCAGACGTCTTTTCTCAATATATGCTCCTGATAGTGTCCTTTTGCGCTTTATCTCATACGTGCATGGTTCCAATTGTGAACAGGTTTGTCCAAGACTTTCTGCAAAAGCAGGTTTGGACCCCCTTGATGAATTTTACGCTGTCAATATGGGACTCGTACAATTACACTTCAGGGATAGACAAAGTAGAATTCGCCGTATCTTCTATATTTTGAAGAGTTATTATGTGTTGCTTACATACCGTGAGAAGTCTTATTGTGGATAATATGACTGTCAATATTAACCAGCTACACATTGAAAAAAAAAGCTGTTGATCGTCAATTCTTTCAGCCATTTACAGCACCTTTTTGACAAGTTGCAGTTTACTGTCCATTCAACTCATTAAACGTATATATTATTTTATTTGTGTGTGTAACCAATTCTATCTGTGGCAGTTTCCAAACGGGGATGTACCAAAGTGGGTACGGAGCGCTATGGAGGTTGCTGAAATCGACATTTCAATGTGTTGTTCTTAAGATTCTGATCGCTTCCAGCTCTATGATAAGCAACATTTGAAACCCAAAAACACACTGGACACACTTCGAATTGAAAAACATCCTGTCTTCAGCTCATCAGCAGCCATCGACTACTGCCCAGGTGAGATTCTATGGGTCTAGAATAGGGAGATCGATCACTGCTTTTTGTAATAGTGTCATGACTCCCATACATAATCTTTTTGGTAACTTGAAGTGCTTGAACACTGATTGTATTGATCCACATCCAATACAGCTCACTCTTCTATCAAATTATTAAGCAGTGTTCAACGTCATACACAGGGAGATCGTGCACACGCGGCAGGAATTTGAGGACAATGCCTTCATGTGTACAAGTCAAAAAGCCCACCTTTAATTCTCCCTTATGAAACCAAACTCAGTTCTCAGTGACTCTTGAATTTGAAAGGAGCAGGCGGTGGAGAAGCTTACTTTTAGTCCGCCGAAAGACCTTCAAAAGTCTTCGAGTCTGATTTATGTCCTGGACAGCAGTAAGTTGTGAAGCTGTTTGAAGTCTTCAGTTTCTGCGTCTTTTTGTCACCGTACAGTGGAGATTCAACTCGACATTCGCAGAGGGCTGAAACTGTAGCCTCGCGACAAACTGAGGCCAGTAGAATACAGAGAACCGTTTTCTCAGCAATTCTTTGAATTCTCATGACAATTCGGTCGATGGCTTACATGTCACAACGCATCCTAGTTAAGTACATGCAATTGGATACATTCCATGTTATCATTTGCTGTCCTGATCTAAATTTCATCCAAAGAAGCTGACGGAAGTCGCCTCAAAGCAACCTTACGATACTTTTGAGACCATACGTTTCCGTTAGGCTCTCTTTTGTAAGTGAACCGCAATATTTGTTTACTACCGGTTTGAAATGTGCAAGTTTATACTTGAACGGTCTATGGAGGCTCTTAGTTTTCAAAAGTGCTGTAGATAAGAAAGAAAAGACCAGTACTTGATTGAAGTGAACTAATGTAGTAAGCCATGAGGTTTGTCTGATGATTCCGCCAATATTTCGGCTTAAAAGACGATGATCTTCATGAGATAACGTGTACCCATATTCTTGTACATGTTAGTGCCTTCCATCCTCTTTGCTTAATCACTGGGTGTTCTATCACCGTACAAGAGTTCCTGTACATGACGTCAACAGATGCGCACTTCCAAGCACATCCAAATTGGTCCTAAAGACGAGGACTTAGTACATGAAAACTGCCAAAACAGTTTCGCAATATTTTTTCTTCATGCGAGTTTAGGTACGTCTCGTTGTGAGGTGAAGAGCCGCTTCGGAGGCAGTGGATGATGTGAAAACAGAAAATATAACCCAGAAGTTCACGGCAACTGGAAGCAGCGGTAAGAACGGACAGAGTATCAGAGCCTCGTCACGAGTTGGAGTTCTCATTGGCTTATCCCAAAGTCGAAGCTGGCAGAGTGATTAAATTTCCGAACCCGTGCCACATTCCCTCGGCATAGATTTCTAGATGGATGGGGCAACGTGGAAATAGGAAACGATGAGAAGAACGAGTCACAAATCGAACACGAGAATAGGGGTTGGGCCGTTGATATATATATCATACAGCACTTATAATATCTTGAGTTATCAGGATAAAGCGATTTATAAACATTCATAGACTCATAATGACATTGCCATATTGTATGTTATAACACGTACAATGTATTTAATGAGATGTTCATCTCTTTCATTCATCCACCAAGATATGGCGGTTATTCCAGGCCTCCTAAATTCAGGCATTTTTGGCATTAACACTATCATTTCACTATTTTTAGTTCCATGGCTTGACGGTAATCGTTTTGAACTGCTTCTCTTACATAATACCCGCCAAGTAAAGTCTCCTAACGCATGATGCGGGGAGTCATCTTCCTTCCATTTGATGATGGAAAAATTACTTTCAATGGACATCTTATTTGAATGAATGATATATATATATATATGAAATGTACCTGGCCCTTAAAATGTATCCAAGAAAAGACTCAAAATGATCAAAACAAACTTGCTAAAAAAATGAAAGTAAAAAATCAAAGAAAAATATTAAATGTATTTGGTACCTTTTGATCAAGACAAGAAAAGATTCACAATGATCGAAAAAAACATACTTCAGAAACCAATTGAAGATAAACAAGTGAAAGAATTATATTAAATGTATTCGGTACCTTTTGATCAAGACAAGAAAAGATTCACAACGATCTAAAAACAAACATACTTCAGAAACGAAATGAAAATAAACAAGTGAAAGAAAAATATAAAATGTACTTGGTCATTTCTGTTCAAAACAAGAAAATATTCACAATGATCAAAACAAACATGATCCAAAAACGTAATGAAAGTAAAAGAGTTTAAGTTTTAATAATGAAATGTACACCAGTTATATTTTTCTCACTTCTTCTATTTCTTTCGTGCTCAACTTGCTCTCTACGTCTGAATTAGTACTACCGAGAATTTGGGCATTTTTTTTCCTCTCAACTTAGAAGTAACCGGAAGGTTTGAGATCCGGAGTTCACCAACAAATTCAAGCACATGCACTCACATGTTGTTTTAGGAGCAAGCATTCTTACCGTAATTCTTTCCTCCTGTTCGCAACTTACTCTCAACTTAGAAGTACACTCAGAATTGATATACTCAGTTCACTAACAAAATCAAGCTCATGCACTCACAGGCTGTTTGGGGAGCACGCAATCTTACCCTAATTCCCTCCTCCTGGAGTTCCACGCAAATCTGGGCAAAATTCCACATATTGTATGGAATTTGGCTAGATAAATATTGGCAATTCTGGCGTCTACAAAATTTTCGTGCCAACAAAATTTGACTTAGTTTTCAGAGAATTAAGTTATTCATTCTCTATTTAAGATAACTAACCTTCTATGTACGGGCTTTGCATGAAATCAATCATTTAATAATTTAGAATATAATTAATAACATTGCAATCGACTTAATATTCGAATGTAATAAAATAAAAAATTTGAGCACTATAAGTAAAAAAGTTTCTATTTTACACTCACAACGTTGCAAGGAAAAAATATTATGATTTAGAGACTAAAATTTATAAGCCTACGGAATTCTTTGAGAACACTTCACATTTATGATCGATTTCGTAACTTGGTTACAAGATGTTATCTTCATAGAAACCTTAAACCATTTTCAGATTTAAGCATATAGAATCCGAACTTTTCGTGCCGAATGGTCTTTCTCTGGGAATTGTGGCTTCATCCACTTATGACGTTTCATTGATGGTGTGTTCACCAGGATTCTTTCATCCTGACTGGAAAACATTGATGTTCATTCGCAAATTTCAAAAGGACATTCTGCTTGGCCTTCACGTTTAGAAACCTGTAGGAATTGTGAGGAAAATTATAATAGAGTGAAGGCGTTTTGAGTACTTCAAGCAATTGTGACGAATCCCAATCTTCACCTCTGTCCTCAAACTACGCGAAGTACAAATAGTTCACAAATCCCATTGGAACTCACTCCTGCAGAATTAAAATAACAGGCACCGAGGTGGAATTCACAAGGAATGCTGCAGCAAGCAACTCCATGCTCAATACGCATAGTACGTAAAAACACTACTGTTGGGGACTTCTATTGAAGGGACCGGGAACAACTCCAGAAGCCCAAAAATTTTCCTACAGCCTCAACTGCTACTAACTCATCTCTTCCTTAATCTGACGTGGAATTGAGACAGACAAAGGACTGTCACCGAACGCATCTCCAACAGAAGCTCGACGGTGGACCTTGTGCGATGAAAGCGCTCATCGGATTCTCATCACTTGCTGCACTTCTTTATCGTAAGAGATACTCTGGAAGCTGTGGGAGAACGGACTAGCACTTGGCAGGATCTGGAACTGAGCCCTAGGGCAATCTCCGTCGGAAAGAGTAGATAAAAGGCCCTTTCCTACTAAAGCTCGGAACTCCTCGACGAGTTTCATGCACTCAGTGATCTCAACCATATTTATATCACATGCGCCGTTCCTTGAAGCACTCATGCAGATACTTCTGTGCTGGAAGAAAGAGTCATTTGACGAATGTCGCTAAAGTTTCGCTCTTGCTTCCACGAACGGAGAGCGAAAACAGACGAACTGCCGGGCCGAATATATAATGCTGGCACCCAGAAGGTACCTAAACTACCCCTTCGTCGGAGGAAGTGTGCCAAAGACCCAGTCCCACAAGCTCGATGTAATGCCAAAGCCCGTTGTTTGCTCCTTGAAGTGATGATTCAAGTGGTACCTCTGCAGTTCCCAGGTCATTAGATATCAGATGTCTTCTCCACTTCATAAATATTATGCACATCAGTGCAATTTAGAACAACATAAACAAATATCCGATGGCGAGTCACCCTCACCTTCAGATTTCGGCTTATATTATCGAAGGGAACCCCATGATGCAGGAAGTAATGTGTCAGATCGTACATCACATAACCGAGTAGACCTCCCCCAAAGGCAGCTGGCATGACAGCCTTTGAAATCACGTTCTTCAGAATGTTCCAAAACTGTTCAAGATCACCAAAGACGACTCTCAAGACATGATCAGCCGTCTGAGCTCTAGTGCAATCTCCGCTCAGAACGTAAGACAAGCTTTTGTACGATGTCAAACCCTGCGTATAAATAGGTCCAGACTGGCAAACTTGCGTGGTACAATCTAAAAACCTTGCCATTGAACGCACCTAGATGCATGGAAGATAACTCAAATCTCATATTTATATTGATCAAAGCTTCATACACTCTACTGCAAGCGTATGATGACAACTGCTAAGAAGAAAGTTTACACAGGACCGAAAAGCAGGATTGATTGGCAGCTGGAGCACTCACCAAAACACAAAATATAGTAGTCCCGGCTGGAGGAAAAACGAGCCGCAATCCATCAAGAGGGTATTTATGATGGCAACCATGCAGGAGATAATGTAGGGTATTCCACCTGCTCGACACATATGATGTGACGAATCAATGACGTATATAATTGGGTCTTTGTCTACGACAGGCATCGTTCTCCGAGATGGCCAGTAAAAGCTACCATTTTTTCTTAATACAAGCACGCCCATACGATGAAGGTTGTGCGAGAAGCAGAGCAAACAAACAAGAAAGGATAAAAACATCGAGAACATTCACCAAGACGTTATCGAGTGACATTGATGATTGATAGCTTGAATTGGACACTCACGAAAGTACAACAATGATCATTTGATCAAGTTTCAGATTGAATATTCAAAAGAAGGAAGTGTTAAGCTGAGGAATACGGATTTCCAAAAAAGACAACAAACTCAGAGAAGTCGAAATACTACTATCACGATATTCATCAGGCTAACGATAGCCAGGGTGGCAACGAACGTTTATACCAACAGCATTATCTCCCCTGAAAAGATCATCATCATCATGGATATTATTCACAGGTCTTCAAAAATCGGCTCACCAGTAGGTTGTTGTCTTCACGTGAAAGAGATGTCTATGTAGTGAGTACTCGACAAATGACCAAAAAAGAATTCCGGCGCCAGTGGCTGGCAGCATCCCGTAAATTGACAAACCCCTTCTAGTAGCCATGTATTCAAGCCAGCAAATAACGGGCAGCCATATGAGGGGTACAACCCACCATACGGTTCTTGTATTAAACTGCAATTCCAACAAAACGCATTAGCTTCGACGTAGCTGTAGACAGTCAACCAAAACTTAAACTCTTCAAACAGAAACTACCAAGTTTTTAACAGGTCTGTATAGTGTTCAGAAAGAACTCACTTCCAAGAACTTGTTCCCAAAAAAGAAGGGAGTCTCCTTCGTTACAATGGCCTGATGCACCCAATCATGATAGTCCTCACCAAGATATCCGACCTACAACGTTCCCACCATCCGAGACGTGCCCTTGTAAATGACGCAAGAAACAATATCGATGACAGGTGACAGTGTTTTATTGACCATTAAGACAACACGTTTAGTGATCATAAGGCAAGTCAAAGAGTAGTCCTACATCCCAAGAAAGATTGTTTAAGGCAAGAAACTTACTTCTGGTGAGTATAATTACAGATAGGAGAAAGAAGATAACGTTTGCTTCATACCTGTAGAACGAGTGGCTTCTTCAAGTCCAAAACAAATCCATTTGAGCTTTTGAACGTCGTCTTGCAGGCTGGCGCTGTTTTGGCAACTTTACTGCATCAGAATTCTTACAAGGGTATTAGTGGGATTGCTGAGGACTCGGTTCCAACCGCAGCTCATGTTCTTTTGACTATATCTGAGCAAGTCTGACTATGTCATGATAGCGTCTACAAATTGACTTGTTACTAGTACGATTTGAGAGTAGCAATGGGACTTAGAGGTTCCTTAATTCTTGTACGCTACCTTGGCAAACTTCCAACATGGAACTGCTCCAACATCTCGTAAGCTGATTTGCTGTGCGAGTGATCAGAAGCTTTATCGGTTCCTTGCATTATGTCATGCACATTGTCATCTTCTAAATGCTCCATGATCAGCTGATAATCAGATTCCAAGACCCAAATTAGACAAACGCGCTGAGTCAGCATTCATATATTTATATATATACCATCAGCCAGTCATGTGAGCAAGCAATGCAAAACGGGACAATCATTGCTCCCACTGCGAATGGACATGGCAAATGCTCATGTATCCCTCTGCTAGATGGATGGTTCTACTCAATTCTGTAGTTTCTAGAGCTGAATTTTCAGCGGCGAAAGCTTCAGAGTTGATGGCATAATAAGCGTGCAACAGGGTCTTCCACAACAATTCGTGACTTTTACTGCTGGAGCCAGAGTGCTGGTGTAGAGGACACACAGTGCTAGACAGCAAGAAATCTCTCTCCTTTCATCTGTAATAGTTTGATAAATCGGTCCCGGAACCGCACGGGACTAGAACGGCTTTCAAACGAGCTGGTGACTATTCCAAGCTGCCAGCATTGTACTCCGTGAGCAGTAAATGCTTCCCATCAGCTGTACGCAACAGTGCTTGCCATATATACGACACGAATCTGCTAACAGCATAGTACATTGGTGCAAATGACGTGCTGAGATTTTACTCACTTCAGAACCCCCCGGATGGTTGGCCAGAAAATCAGTGATGTCGTACACTTCCCCGTCTACAACGATCCATGCATCCGCGGGAGTCCTATGATTCCTCACTTCCTCAAGAGTAACGACCTTCAATGCGGGCGCACTGCCCGTCAAGCCATTCGAGACTTTCCTCCGACGAAAATTGGTCTCCAGAGATCCTTCCAGCTGCGGATCTAGCACGGAGTCGGGGCTGCTAGGTCGAGTCTCGTCGCCATCACTGGCGTCAAGTCTCTCCACCGCCGCCATTCCGCTCGACACAGGCGGAAAATGCAGCGAGCGCGAATCCTTCTCCCCGGCAGAGAGACACTCCCAATCGCCACCAATGCTGAGAACCTCACCTCGAGCTACCAAGAATTCGGCATCCGGCGTTGAAATCTGGACAGCAAAATCGGCCCCAGATTCGCTGAAGTGGTACGAAAAAGCTCCACATGCTCAAGGGTGCGAGCACTCGACGACCGGCCCAAGAGCTCGCTCTGTCGCTCGCTCATCTGACTGCAGCTCGCGCTCACCCGGCATTCCCGAGCGATCTTGGGACCTAGACGCTCTGGCAACATTCCCCGCCCCGCCCCTCGCCCGCCCCTCGCCCGCCCTCCCCTCCGACACCTCACGGGCTTTCAAGAAGTAAAGACCGCCTCATCGAGCGCTGAGATGCAGGCAGCATCGGCCGCCATCATCTCATCGATCCCCTCCTACACTCGAGGAACGGGTGGAGCGGGCCGAGAAGATTCGTCACCCTCCACCAGCTCAAATCGCAGCTGCGCGGGCCTGGACATACAGCAGGTGTTTCGCCGACATCGTCATTCCATCGTGAAACCCGGCCCGCAATCGCATATTCTTTGGTATCGTGCCTCCAGTGCACGCCCGTCCAGCCTGCTGCCTATGTGCCCACTTGTCCTCACTAGGCCCTTCTGACTGAACGACAAACCTGGTTCCCGAAAAGATCCCGCGGGTTCCTTTTTCTCCCAATGGATCTTCAGTCCTACCATTGATCCCCTAGAGGACTCGTAAGGGCGTTCTCGCATTCACGTAGGAACCGACATGAAGCAAACCTTGAATATAACGAGGCGAAGAGGAGAGCCCAAAACTTTGCTAAATCGAGAGGAACCGATGTCGATGTTCATATTGCGTGCAGGAAAGGTCAGCTTTAGCGGAGGTCTGAGGAATATCTTTTTATATTCATGGTTAGATGACGGGTGTGCTAGACTGCAGGCTAGAATAACCCCGACCGTATGACTGTGGCCTGACGGCCATACTGTCACCGTCGCCTGAAGAGTTCACACGTCGAAGAGCGCACCGTGTAGTTTTCAAATTCTACGCATGGTTAGAAGATGTGAGACACGTGTCGGCAAGTACATTACGCCCGTCAGTTCGCAAAATTATCGTCAAGCTCACAAGTGCTCAATCATTCGCGCACAATCCCGCGCGAGAGCGCCTGCTGAAGCAATACGAAAGCTAGTCCATAGACTCATCTTCCTCGTCCTCTGTAGTAGATCTCACCACCTGACAACTCATCGAAGTCCTAAGCCATTGCTCGTCGCAAGGCGCACCCAGCTCCGGACGAGAGTGCCTCTTGAAGTTAATGGACTCACGCACAATTTACACAACAAGCTTGGGCTCAGGTACACGAAGAATCATGGCACAATATCAAGAGTTGAAATCTCAATCATTTTCTCTTTCAGGATTTTCAAACAATTGCCCCATATACATACTCTCGCACTGCGTTGTGTATGGTGCTTGACCATACGGTCAAGCGCAGCATGCAATAATAGATCTTGCAAATTTCAGAGAAACGCGAAGAAGGAGGAGTTTATGTGTGCTCTGATAACATGAAAGAGTGAAATAGTCGTAATCGATCTTCAATAAATCCTTCTACTTGAACCTTGCTTAGAATAATCTTCAACGTCTAGGAACCTTAAACACTTTGGGGTCTTGCGAACACTGGCAGAAGTACAGAGGGCATTGTGCCTTCTCAGGAAATGACTCGTCGAAATGTGACAAATCAGAAAACCTAGAACATCATATGTGCGTTCGATTGCCAAGGAAACTATCGAGTGAGCTTCACTTGAAGATTCCACTATGATAACGAAGGCTTAAAAAATCGAATCGTGGATAAAGGATTGGAGCCCCTAGAGTGGTCTTTGATCTTTATTAAGTTGGTATCACAAATTTTAAACAGAAGAATGGTTGTAAACTGGAGTAAGAAGAGATTTCTAATTCAATCTTCAAAAATGCAACGTAGATTTTAATTTTGATTTACGTTTGAGATCAAGAATTGAGAGATTGTCATAGTTTTATTTCAGAGGATATTCAATGTACACATGAATGAAAACATTTTGCTCCAAATAGGACCAAAAGCTCATATTCATCTTCAACTTACAAAGTAATCTCTAATTTGAGGGACCAGTCATAAACCACCAAATCTTGTATACAAATGGACTTCAAACTGATTCCTAAGACTCTAAATTTGCTACTGTACGAGTTCCTCATACAGATTTTGAATGGATAAATCTTTATAAAACTGAAAAGTACAAACTTCTAGACATAGAAAAAGTAAATTGGAGAGCACTTATTCGGTTTGATGTGTTGTTTCCAGTTGTATTCGCACTTTGGAGAATCCACAATCCATGAAATACTTCTTCAAGGTATCCTCTATCTGCAAGACGGAGTGTGAGTTGTCATGTACAAATAGCCTCCGTATATGAATCAAGACAGGTAACATAAGCTATTGATGCTAACTTCAATTCTGGACTGAAAACTCATTGTCTTTTCTTTTTCATCTTTGTCAAATCCCTTCACACATTTAGTTTTTTCTTGATCTTCCTCGCCACGAGCGCCACCACCAACACTATCGCCTCAAACAAATCCTCCATCTTCATGTCCACCTCCACCATCAAAACTACTCCCTCCATCATACCCATATGTAGATTTTACCGACACTATTGACTCGAACAAATCCTCCATCTTCATGTCCACCTCCACCATCAAAACTACTCCTTACATCATATCCATATGTAGATCTTACCCAAGAAAATCCTCCATCATTTCCTCCACGGACTGATCTATTATTTAAAAAAAAAGACTAGGGAAAACAAGTGCTAACAATGTGAAAAATAGCCAACGGTAGATGAACCAGACAATTGATGGATATAAACAAAAGCTAACTCTTCCTTTCAACTAGATCCGCTCAAATATAAAACAAAATGGAAATGGATGCGAACATTGAAAATAAGATACAATTGTATGTCAACTAATTGTATGTCCTGACCAGCGCTGTTGTTACATTTTGAACATATCCAATATTATAGAAATGTCATCACAAGCCTGTATTAGAAACTCAAAATATATAACCAAACCACACAACATGACATTGATGCACATCATTTGGCTTCCTTATTCCGAAACTTTGCATCAGACATCTAGGTTCACATTCATGCTATTAATCGGCATACATGTCGGCAGTTAGAAGGCTAAGATATTGAATAAACCACCAAGAGAGAAACCCCAAACAACCAAAGTTCCACATGTTAAATTTGTTGTTCTTCTTGTTTGCAAGTCCATTTTCCGGACTAGGTGACCTTTTGTAGATGGTAATACTCATAAGGAGTATCATTTTTTCTCTTATAAGGAAAAAAATTTTATAAGCAAGTGCAACAAACAGTATACAAATAGAACTATATCTCCACTGACTTTTAAGAATGCATATGCTCTCCTTGTTGTAAAGTTCACAACATATGACAAGTTATCCGGGAAACAATTCTCGCAATTCAGAACCACATTTGTTTCTAAATGAAAGAGACTTTGGTCAAGCACAATGAAATCTAGTTATTAATCAATTCACTATACATGATCATCTTTTAGATTAATCATATTTGTGCCAGCGAAAAACTCTCTACCTATACGTTTTGGCATGAAAAATCTAGTCGCAAGCAAAAAAATTCTATTCAAATCAGTCTAGGATTTCCTACTCTTGCATTTTCCAAGTTGTTGAATGATACATCTGAACAACTTTCTAATTGTTTCTTTTTTTTTTTCCTCAAACTTTTAGTATAACATTAGGAAAAATATTGTCATCACTAATAACATCTTTGATCTCTAATATAACATCTAGCATAACTTGACTATGATTGATATAATTTTGACAATTATTACTTTCATCATTAACATTTTGAAGAATCAATTTCAAATCTTGTAAGTTTTCACAAGTGATAACATATTAGTTGCAATAAATATAAGAATAAACTCAAAAACAAAACTAATACATACATGCAATCATAAACAATATGATTTAATGGATGTTAAAATCACTTAAATCCAACCCCATCTAAAGAATTGCTCTATATTCCGTCTGAGCTCGTTTGTAATTTATGGAGAGTATGCATACTTAGGATACCAAGAAACAACTTCTACAATTCTTTCGTGACAACTTTCACCTTTATCATTACAATGATATCTGCAATACAAGTGTAAATAGCAAAAATAATCAAGTGGCCGACACTTAGAAGATGCTTGAAGTTGAAGAGAAGATACATAACATATAGTGCAAAATGGCAAAATCACACCTTGAACTCGATGATTATGTTGTGATATGCACCTGGAAACGAAAGAGTAGGCTATTGAACTTGCATTGAGCTCAAATAGCCATGAGTAAATTAGATCTACGCATCTTTAGAGTCATGTTTTTCTATAGAAAAGCAGAACTTGAAGCATGGATATATACTTACAATGAATTTTCTTTCCAAATTTTATTGCTAAAATGTCTACAAACGCTTGTGATGTAATATCCATGGTATCACAGAGTCAATAAGTTCAATTAAACTTGTTTTTCAATTTTGAAGTTTTTGCCTTTTAAAAACATTCCTTGCCTTCCTTTGTAAATTTTCGTATAAAATATACACAAAGATATGAGAAGGGTACCAAGCATACTACTCTGTTCAGTATAATACGGGAATTAACCCTACTTACTTCATTCTCTAAAAATGTGTTGTCATTTGTGATGGCACCACCTAGATATGATTGTTCAGTCATCTGAACTCTAAAGCATCTGCTCAGTAAACGTGAAATGAGGTTAAAATTGATTTGAGGTAGAAAACATAACCTTCAATCCATTTTTTATTTCAATCTACTTGATGGAGCTTCGTCCCCGAAATAAACTTTTGTTGAAAAAAATTCACCGGTTATCACAATGAGTATGTTGGAAGCAAGTACTTTGGCCTTTCACTTTAAATAGGCATTCGAAGAATCAACCAATCTTATTCAAATTGTATCTACTAACGCACCATGTTTGCAAGTGACTAACATCTTTAATGATTAAGTCCAAGGATGAAAATTTCTATGATGTAAACAACTCATGTTATATTGATAAAATTAATAGTTATATAATGTACTAGAGTATGGACTCTACTAGTCGCTTCTAAGGAAGCTTCATGACAAGCAAATGAATTTGATTGTGTAAGATTTTCTTACATCTGAAGAAATCTATGATTTCTGAATCTTCAAGTCAGAGTGGAACTAGATTACCTATGATGAACGTCGAAGAAACTAGAACGAATATGCTAACTATTTGCACATGCTGAGGATTTGAGCAAATAATCATATGAGAAGTCTGATACTACTTCTACTCT